CGCAGCTCTGCGTTGCTGCCATTGGTCGATGCTAAAAGGCCCTCGCCAAGACGGCCAGAAACTGAGGCAGCTATAGACCGCCAAAGGCGACCACAGCTTGGTTTGACGTAGCTGGTCCTTGATCGCGAATAATGAAAGGGTTGAGGTGTTCTCGTCTCCCGGCCACCCTCGTTCAGTCCAACAGTCCAACTGTCTGACTGCGTGCTTTCATATCATCAAAAGGTGCCACAAGGGTGCGAAGAGAAACACGAATACACTATCGTCGACATGGCTCAAATCAACCTGCTCTACGTCTCTCCATCGGACCTGATACTGGAGAGACGCGGGCCAATTGGTCTCCAGTCCGATCCAGTTCTGATCGAATGCGACCTTCGATCTTGGTAAGCTTTCTCCCGACAATTACGGGTACTTCTGTCTAAAATGATCCAGGCGCGCCCCTGCAGACTTGCATGTGTGCGAATCTCGCGGCTTTAAGGCGCCTCTGGGTCCAGAACACGGAGTCAGGCATGGAGACGTCGAGCTGATATATGAGGGCAACACCATGCCCCCGCATACATCAGATGTATCACAGCACAAGAATGTATAAACACCAGTTTGCCAATGGGCTGGACCAAATACAGGCCCAAGAGTGTTTTGATCGGCAATCATGGCAAAGTCCTTACGCGGAAGCAAGCGCCCGCCGTGAAGACATGCATCCGATCTGGTCGCCAAAGACGCCAAGCACTCGCCAATTTTATCAATTCTGACTGCGTCGCAACTCCAACCGTTTGGAGGGAGAACGCTGGGACTTCGGAGCTGTATTCGGCACTCTCACGACTCGCTAGCTCGCCAGCGGCCGACGAAATGACCATGCACAGATCCGCAACCATCCAGGCCGTCTGGTCTGTTGTCGATAACCTCACGCCACAGGTCGAAATTTCAACAAGTGCTAGAGACTCCTTCAATGCCATGCAAGCCGGTATTGGGGTTTTGAGGGCTCACGTGGACGATCCGATGATGGCGCATTTGATGCTGAGTCGGGCATTCCGCCTTCTGGATCAAGCTATCGCACCACGAATTGGAGAAGACGGGTTTTTTATGATTTGTATCAAAATCCCCTTTCTGATATCAAGATTTGACAAAAGACAGGTGATTGGGAAACTGCTGATGGAAGTATATCTCGACTATGTGGCACAGCTCAGCAAACTCCGATTGGGCACAACACACCCGATGGTTTTAACGCTCAGTAGCCTTCGGTATTTGGTGCAGGTAGCACCTATGCAGTGGGAAGAGAACACTCAAATTCTACTTGACGCCGTTCACAAACGAGGTCCGAAACTCTGGGCGATCAACGAAGAAGCATTTGATGTTGGCGGGACCTACCCACTCCGCCTCGAAACCCTTCCGGGGCTTTACGTTAGGCGCGTATTCCATTGCGAGGAACGATACCAAGTTATTCTTAAAGTCATACAGTCTCTTCTGAGCAAAGCCACGCATGTCACCACGCATGTCAGTGGCGACTCAGACTCGCTGATCATCGTTAACCATGGTTATGAAATACTGGGAGTTCTGTCTTTCTCCAACGTCTTGGCCACTAATGGGGGTTTTATAAAGCTCGCCATACAGCTTGTCAGGCATATTATACTTCGCATGAATTCAGGATTGGGACTCGTGGAATATCCCAACCGTGCGGGCCACCTTTGTGGAGCCTGCCATCTCCTCGTCAACCACTTTCTGTATATAAAGGACTTCGACCAAGCCGCTGTTTACTGCTTCGCGTCACTTATGGAGGACACCCTAGTCGAGTGTTGGATAACCCTATGCGTGCTGTACGAAAGCCATTTAATGGAGACGGGGAAGGACGCCGAACTTGAGTTATGGCGACGGCTAAGACGTCAGTTTCAAGAGGGAGATTGTGGCCTGTTGACGGTCATTCGCTTGCATCGGGGAAATGCTTTCGAGTATTAATTCGGCAATGGGTCTTCACCAAAGGCGCTGGTAGAGGCTATGTGGGTGGATATGGCGAATTTTGAGCATGGTAGAGATGCTACCGGTGAGCTCGAGATGAAGTAAGATGTCTTGGAGGGAGTTGGTGGAGGAGGAACAGAGAGAAGCGGCTACCCTGGAGAAATTCCAAGAGCTCACCGTCTAGCATAGATAATTGAACACGACATGGGTGGACATGCTTCCTGGGTACTTCCCTTTAAATCTTTGCTGTGTCACCACCAACCTTCCCTAGCATCAATCTCTGAAAGTTACCGGTAGTTCAGAGAGATTCTTAGCCAGGGAGCTTCTCGTGCAATAACCACGCACGATGATCCACGTCCACGCAATAATAACGAGTTGATAATGAGTTCACATGAGAGCATTGCTCACTAGCCAGTTACATCAAAAGGCTGAGGGCCATTCAAAGATACAACTACCACCTCTAGCATGTCATCGGATTATATTCATACACCTATTTAGCCTGGTATTGCACTTTGTGGCCGAGGAGGGTGGGGCTTACCGCGGGACGTCTCTTGGGACCTGCATTGATATGACTTCCTCTTTTATTAACAAGGGCACCCAAATCTACCGCCGACTCGAAAGCGGGATGGGAGCAAACAGCTACCAAACTCAAGCTTGAATAACACACCGGCTACCTACTAATTACTACCGGCAATTTCAACATAGTGATCAGTGCCATCACACACCAACGATAACTCAATAAATCAACACTCCCAGACCACATTGGTAAACGCAGTCACGACACTGCCATCATATCATTGTCATCTCCACATCAACATCGCAGATAACACCACAAGAATGGGTAAACCCACTCATTTCTGGGGGTTCATCTTCCTCACATTTGCTTCCTTCACACCGACAGGGACATCAGCGGAATGCAGCCGCGCAGCCCTCAAAGAAGCAATAACTGAATACATCAAAGCCTCGACCGCAGGGAATCCCTCCCTCTGGACCGCCTTAACCAGCAACGCAAGCTACACGGAAAACGGTGAACCAGTCAACATCACCAAAGGCATCCTCTCACAGGCTCTTAAAATCGACCACAGTCGTAGGTTCCACGACGCGACCGCCTGCGCCTCGCTGACCGAGCTCATCGTCACGGACCCGATCAAGCCCTACGTAATTCACACGCGCATGCTCTTTGACACGAACAACGCTACAACAAAAGTCCACACGGTCGAGGCGCTCGTCACGATTCTCGGGGACTGGGCCTTCAACGCGACGGGTTACCTGCACTGGAACTCGCTCGAAAACTGGGACCCGATCCCCGTTTCGAAACGCGATGACCGAGAAGTGATCAAAGCGGCTGGGGACGCGTATTTCGACCGGTGGAATGATACGAGCGTTGAAATCCCGCTGGGTACGCCGTGTGCTCGACTCGAGGGCGGCGCGTACACGGGTTTGGGCGACCTGGAGAGCAACACGTGCAACCTGGGTGGGTTCCCGAGCACCATTGTGGTCAAGAACAGGAGGTATGTGGTGGACGAGGAGATGGGCGTCGTGAGCATTTTCATGGAGTTTCCGGGCTTGGACCGGACGGTTCCGGACAGAGCGGCGCCGGATAGTCATATATTTAGGGTGCAGGGGGGCAGAGTGAGGTATATACATACCGTGTCGCATTGTTTTGCGTACCGGTGTGGTATGACGGGGCCGGTTCCGGGAAGCGGGGCGGATTAATAGTCAGTATGAAAATGATAAGGGAGTGTGAGGTTCTGCAAGGTGAAAAGAACGTTTGGTGGACTTCCATTGGATTATTATGTTTCAATTCTGGTATGGTGTGTTTGTCTACGAGCTATGACGAGTCTAATATTGCCGAGCACTCTATATCTCATACAAGTTCCTCGATATCAGGATGCTCCCGCAGGAGGTTGATAATCGGCAAAAAGATCTTTTGTTTTCCTTCCTCGGTACTAATAAGCTCTTTCATCTCGGACCAACTTTTCCAGGACCAGCCTTCACACTTTTCGGGTTCGAGAGTCTATAATGAAGTGTATCATGTTATTTCAGGGCTCGTCAGTATGCCAACCTTAAACACATCCCCATGGGACATCGCAGACTCAAAATGGCGGAGAAAGAGTCAAGGTATTAGGTACGCACCTCTGGCTCACGTTCCTCATCCAGCCGCCGACAAGCTACGAAGATGGTGACGTAGTGCTTCGTATCGTCAAATATATCGTTGGTGATGCTGATCAGCTTTTCCGCGCGGACCTCGAGGCCTGCTTCCTCGAGGGTCTCACGCTCGGCGCAGGCGAAATAGCTCTCGCCGACTTCGAGGTGACCGCCTGGGAACTGCCATTTGCCTGACACCATCGAGACAAGAGCAGCGAGATTTAGCGTTGTTCATATATTCTGTGTGGCCAAGAACACAGTCATGGTTGACGTAGTAATTAAGATAATACTTATTGACTTACCCCCGAAAACCCCCTTTCTCACCCCCATCACCATCTTTCCCTCTGCATTCTTGATCACGGCAGCGACCCCGACACGGACAACCGGACCTTCAGGAGCCATGTCTGCTGGCACTGGACGTGGGTCGGGTTAGTAACGAATTGATCTCTCGAATCCGCAGGTTCGTATGGAGTTGAGGTTGGAATTCGGGTGATCGTTGGGCCTTTTCCATTCACATTCGTCCTATTCGGATACTGTACCGTAGATCGTTCAATGCATGCGCTGGCAAGCATACATTCTCGTTGCATAAACAACCCCACCCTCAAACCTTTTTGCTTTCCCAAACAGTGGAACCAGCTCGTCGCTTGCATCACTGATGATTCTAAGCAAACAGATATGGAACAAGTCCTCATAGGTAACTAACAATGGTAGGAGATTTCAAATATGTGAGACGGACTGGCCAGCAAAATAGTCATTTGGAATAAAGATGCCCAGTGTAAGAAAGACACGAATTGTCTCGGAGATCTAGATCTACCTACCCACTAGCCTCTTAGTGGTGGAAGATTCGTCCTGTTATTGGCGTGTGTTGGTTGATGAGTAAGAAGAAAACGGCAAATTAAACATCCGCCCTGCTGGCGCAATGGTAGCGCGCCAGACTTCTAATCTGGAGGCTGTGGGTTCGAGCCCCACGTGGGGTGAGGTTTCTTTTTTTCTTTTTCGTACTTTGTTCATTCTTCCATCATTTCGGTGAATAATTGTTAGTTGACTATATATATACAAACCTCACAAATCCTCTCTCATGTTTGTCTTTTTAGTCCTTGTTAAATGTCATTCACCATTGCTGCAGCCAGCCGGGGTGCGCCGTACTCGCTTCAAATAGCAAAATATGTTCGTTCTAGTTCTTTAAAATAAAACATCATTATCATCGTATGTTCATCGGCTTAAAACAAGAATATACTAGCTAATTTTTGCATCTTCAATACCAACATAAGAAAACAAGAGAGGTAGACAAACTAAGAAACGGGGTATCACTCCCTACATGTACATTCAAAAGTTTCCGATCCAGCCAAAGGCCCAAAACCATGCTAATCATCCAAAATCATGTGTTACCTCTTCCTCCTTTTTAAAACCAGCACGCAGCCACCATTAATCATCTCTCAAATCTGTAACATCTTCCCCAGTCTAGGCTTAGGTACATCTGTAAATAAATATTTACTTACGCCATCTTCCACACTGAATTAACCCATCTCCAATCCCTATCCTCTTTACATGCCAGTCAGTCGGCCGTTAAATGACAAAAGAAAGCAAAATATAAACATCATCTTCGTATGTATGTCATACACCGTCGTGCATGTAAGTAAAGTGGTCATATGAGGCCGTCATCATGATCATCAAATACAAAATCTGTCATCAATCCAACCTGTGAAGATGGCTCTCACCTCAGCCCATCGCCAGCGCCCTTCTCAACCACAAACCTCACAGGCTTCCTCGACCGGGGCTGCCGCTGTCCTTTGGGCGGTATCACCGGCCTCAACACGGGTCCAGGACCAAGGACTCTTGCGTTGACCCTTCTCCCGTCACCAGCACCCAGTCCCAATTTTCCACTCTGGGACAGAGTACCTGTAGTCAGCCTCGAAGAAGCGGCGGCCGCGCTGGAAATCATCCAATCGCCACCGTCATCCTTCCTCACCTTGGCCCCGCCGGTCCCGGCACCGCGCTCGTCGAATCCCCACCTCGAAACACCCCCCCCCACAAGCCAGCCGGCGAGGTTCTTGCACTGGCTCACGTCAACCCATTCCAGCCGTCCGCAGCCCTCGAGCACGTTCTCGACCCCATTGCCCGTCACGCGGACGCAGCCCCTAACGCTCAACCCGCGCAGCTCGTTGAGGTGCAGCGCAATGCAGCCCAGGCTGGCGTCGCTGACTGCACTCCCGCAGAACGCGAGCCGGAGCTCTCGCAGCTTGGGCAGGCCCAACGCGACGACCTCGGTGGCCGTGTCTGACAGCGCACAACAGAAGCTCAGGTCCAGGTGTGTCAAAGTCTTGGCAGCGTTGACTAGCGCGATGATGCTGTGGTCAGACAGGTATGTGCAGTCGGCCAGACACAGGTGAGTCAGCTCGGTGAAGTGGTAGGGCGCCCAGGACTGGAAGCCGGCATCGGTGATGGACGTGCAGCGCGTCAGGGACAGACTCTCCAAACGATTGGACGCGTGGGCAGCCAGATGCGCCATCGATCGGTCCGTGATGTGTTTGCAGTACGAGAGGTTGAGGCGACGAAGCCGGGGGCAACCAATCACCGTACCCGGCGGCGGCGGAGCAGGGGGTGGAGGATGGTTGCCGTTTGGTTTCTCTGATGACCGCTGAGCATGCTGAGAGCCCCTTCTGCCCTTAGCAGCAGCAGAGCTCGAGATCACCACATTCTTGGCGTTCTCGCGCGTTGGCGGCGGTTCTGGAACGACCCAGCCGACGACTCTGGCGAGCAAATTGTCCCCGACCTTGCGGCAATTGCTCCAGTCCACCTCTTCCAGGCCCTTGGCGTTCTCACTCATCTCCAGGATCTGTCCCGCCGAGACATCCCAGACGCTTCGCATCCTCCAGACCTTCACGTTCTTGCCACACAGCTTCCACAGCGCCTGGAACCCTTCGTCGGTGATGTGGAAGCAGTTGCTGATGTCGACTTCGATCGGCCGCGTGCCGATGAATGGCGCTATCACATGAGCCAAGGATGAATCCGACACCCTCCGGCTGAGCGAAGCTAGATCGACGTGTGTGCAAAGCTTGGGACTTTCTGTCAGGATCTGTCGCCAGTTTCGGCACACTATTCTTAGTCGGACCATCTCGAGAAGGTCTAGTTGTTTGAACACAGACACCAAGATATCGTCTGGCAAGAGTGCCTTCTCCATTTCCTCCGTTCCCGTCTGCGGTCGCCAAGGGAGTGTCCTTGCTCGCTTGGAGGGGGTTGGGGAGTCATCCGAGGACGGTATGCTTGCAGGCGGGATAGAAAATTTGAGCGGACTGCCTTCGCTACCATTAAGCTTGGCACCATTCACGATCGGGGAAGAATCCGTCTGGGGAGTAGGGGGAGCAAGTGAGTTACGCCGGCGGTTGCGAAGGTTCTCCATGTCGACGCTCAGGAAGGGATCGGGATCCGAAGGCTGCCGGGTTTCCGCTTCATCCTTGGTCGGGGACGGGGGCTTGGAGGGTGTCGTAAATGTAACTTGCGGGAGCGCTAGTTGCTCGGTAGGCGATGTTGATTCCTCCTCGTCCGAAAGCGCATGACTCTCAGCGTCGGCCATTTCGACATCACTGTCGGATGCCTGGTACCTCTTTCTTGCGGTCTCTTCAACTTGCGACTTGATCTCGGGAGGACATCGCTTCCAGAGCTCCTCCAGGGCCTCTCCGCCCACCATGAGGCATTCCACTGTCGTGATAGACCGCACTGTGGCGGTTCTTCCATCCGAGAGTCCCAGGCTTGCAACCTCCCCAAAATATTGCCCCTGCTTTAGCCTCGGTCTCGTGTATGATGACCGTGTTAATCGCTTCAGGTTGGTCGGGCTTGGTACTTCGTGTATGACCTCAGCCTCGCCGCGGACAATGAAAAAGATCTCGTTCCCTGGGCTGCCCTGGCGGATTATGTCGGTAAATGGTGAGTAGGACTTGGGCTGGGCGCTCAGACCCAGGAGATGAAGGACATCGGGCGGTAGTGTTGAGAATAGCGGTAGCTCTTTGAGGGTCTTGCGGACGTTGACATAGCCACTGCCCAATGCGCTCCCCCCTATTGTGGGGTCCTCGATAACGCCTGGGCTTGGCGATTTGCGCTTCTTGGTGTTCACCACCGCGCCCTCCTTGATAATGCCAACCTCCCCTGTGCTCACTTCGCCTGGCACCGCCTCGCGCGCCAGCTTGGAACCGTTGGTGTCGGGGAGCCTACTCGGCTGGCCATTCTCGTGACGCTTCTTTTTGAGAATGGTTAACCTCTCTTGCGCCTCCTGGCGAATTGCCTTTTCCATATCTGGGTATTTGGGTAACTCGGCCTGAAGATCCTCCTTCTTTAACACAACCAACAGACATTTTGTTCTGGCAATGATGGTAGCGGTGCGAGGGATGTCCATGAGAACACCGATTTCTCCGAAGAAGGCGCCCGGTTTGAGCTCAGCGTAAACGGCCTCGCCATCACGAGACGTGACGGCGACGACACCGCGAACTAGCCAGTACATTGCTTTTGCTTCGTCTCCCTCGGTAAGTATGTGGTCGTGAGCGGAATGTATCTGAGGTCTTAGGTGGGCGCCAATGGCAACGAGAAAGTCTTCTGGAGCAGACATAAAAAGGGGAAATGATCGTATGCGATCCACAAGGTCAAGCGGCATGTCTGAAATGGTCGAAGCAGTTAGCGGCGACGGGCGCATGGGCCGCGTCGGGTTGGTCTCGACATTGAATGACCTGATGAGCGAAGAGACGGAATCCTGGGTGTGCTGCTGTCCCGGCTGTGTTCCAGCACTGTGGTGCACCAGGGCCCGGTAGGGCGAGGCCGGAGGAGGCGGAGTTCGACTCCGGCGCATCATGTAAATGGCAAGCGCGGCAGGCGCTCCGCCGGATTTCAAATGACAGACTGTGCCTGGAGACTATTTGGAAACTTCTGAAGGTCCCCAATCCAGTCTCTCGAGAGTAGTGCGACCAGAGATGACGTCTCCTCTCCCGCTGTTCCGTATATTGCAGAGGGGCCGGCTAGATCGAAATTAGGCGGGGACTCTTCATGCTATAGCCCGGTGGATAACGGGTTCCCCACACAGGAACGCCAGGACGGGAAGCTTTGGGCAACAGTTTTATGTTCTCCTGTCCTTCCTCGCCTCTCTTGCTTGGCTCGTGTGGGGAAAGGGTCGATCCCGAGTTCAAGAAGGAATTGGAGAAGAGTTGTCTTGCTTGTCGCGAGGTGGATCGCCAGGCGGCACGTCCTCAGATGACCTGGGCCTGGAGATTTTCTCTGCGTTTCGCCTGATGTTTCTCGGCGACGTTCAAGCTGGATGCCGAGGCATTGCAGACACCTGAGGAAAAGAGTTGATTCGGCGGCGGCTGCCGGTCGTTCGAGGTAGATGTGGTTCTGGGAGCAGAACTTGGTCAGCGTCAATGCCTCAGTCGGTCGCGGGTATCGTGTCCGGCATCGCTTACACGGTGTGGAGGAAGTTGAAACGTCCAGAAAAACGTCACAGAGAGCAGAGCTCGTGGAAGGACGGATTTGGAGATACCAGGGTGTGGGGTAGTGGCAGCTCGGGAAGATCAGCCAGCAAGTCGGAATGCGTTTTGGCTGAAGGCGAGCGAAAGCGTCTGGAAGCACGAGACAGAAGCGAGCGGGCGGGGAGAGTTCGGGTTCGGCTTCAGATCGTGAAGTGTTAAGGTGGGTGGTGTCGCTGCCAAGCTGTCTTGACACCTAGGTCTGTCGTCGTCTGGAGAACGTGGGGCACGGTGCTGATCGCGGATCGATGTCACCGCAAGTCCAAGCAGCGAAATTCCAAAATCCTCAGCGCGACAGGACGACAGCCGACATCGCACACTCCAACAACTTCGAGAAAGGGGGGTAAGAGTGGTCGAAGGCCGTTAACATGATGAGGAACGCATGGAAAGCGTGGAAGAAACAGGATCGCACAGGTGGCCCTGATTTTCGGACGCGGTAAGTCAGTGCTTGGAACTGAGGATGATGGATG